GGTTAGGTCTGGATTAGGTTTGGGTCAGGTCTGGGTCAGGTCTGGGTTAGGTCTGGGTTAGGTACGCCCAAATCGACAATTTATCATGTACTTGTATGTTATCATGTGTTGGTAATCGAAAAAAATGAAAACTGTTATTTCAATACAGAGTCGAACTGGTCATATAAGAAACTCGATTCAATAATAAAAGTCATTTGATTATTTAAAATTTCCCAAGCAGTCAAAATGTCTGCTTTTGGGCAATATAGGTATAACACATATACCGGAAATGAAGGAGGGGGGAGGTAACTACAATTATTAATAAACGCATTTATATGTTGTACAAAACGTCACAAAATTCTAAGAAATTGTGTCATTATATACATAATTGTTTTTCTAATTGAAATTAAAAAGCAGTCAAAATGACTTCCTTGGGCAATCTAGTGTTAAATATGCAAATATGATCCAATTTATATCGTGTTTGGTCTTATTTTAATCAGAAAACTCTCACAAATATATTAGTAAAGGTCCCACTAATAAAAAGTAAAAAATAAATAAGTTTCACATTGCGATATCCTTATTTGTCCTTTTCTACGTAGCTCGGTTTGTCTTTCTGGGAACTGAAAATCAACCATGTTTTTATACCTGCAAGATTTCGGTTTCATGTTTCTCGCAGTATCCATGATTTGAAAAATGTTAAAAATAATTATCATAAAATGTTAAAATATTTATCATACTATATTTCATAAATCATACACAACTTTAATGTTATCATTTCTCAAGCATCTCTTTTTGTAACTTTTGCGTTTAACGAAGCTTTCTATTTACAAATTTTATCCTATGTCAAACGATTTATTTTGGTTTGTAAAACTACCTTTCGCGTTTTATTGAAAAGCAAATACTCGTAAACAATAGTCTACGCCACCTATTTTTTTAATCCCCTTAACAATTTTCCACGTTTTTATTTCAAAACGTACACATGCACCAAACGACTCCAAAATAGAATTTTCTCAAAAACGTCGTTACACACGAACAAATTGCAATCTGTGTTATGGATTTATTTTTGTATACAAAATCACTTGTTATGTTTTACCAACGAATAAACACTCGTGAATAGTCACGTACAGAAATTTTGTTAGATTTCTTCAACTGTTACGGTTGGTTACGTTTTATTTCGATGAAACACGCGCGTGTACCAAGTAGTCACAAAATCGAATGTTCTCGAAAAGGCAGGTTCTTGTAAACAAAACACGATTTTAATAACAAAATCACCTCTCACGATTTAACGAAAGGTAAATATTTGCAAATAGTTGCATAGACGAATTATTGTTACATATCTTCACCTTTTGTTTCAAACAGAGCTCGACCATGCGTCGAATAAACTGTACGATATGGTGTCAGACATTTTGTACAGCGGTGTACTAAATATTCTGGTTTCACGGCTTTCATAAAATTACCCGGAGAAGTGGATACACATCACGTAATCCACATTCACGCGATGTAAAGGTAAACTTGTAAAACGGTTCGGCTTCAATCTCATAAATATCTCCGCGTTGGTTGAAGTTTGTTGCTTCCAATGCGGAATCAACATTAAACGGAGGCGGTTAAATTTCCCGAAATAAGCCCTTTGTTATGGCAGACCAAGTACGCGTAACGCGGAAAATCTATTTTGTATTTCGCTGCAAGTGCAAACGGAAACGAACGAAACGTCCGGCGTTTCGTATCTGTTTTATTAATCCTTCGCGGTCGACGCGTTTTCACGTTTCATATCGCGGGGCATAAATCAATTCGGAGACAGTTGTTTGGTGTTGAATATTTTTCTTTCGTCGCAAAAAATATCCCGAGTTCGTGCAATCTTTATGTAGCGTTTAATAAATCGAACTGTCGATATTTTAAAATGAGTCTATTGTATGTAATTGGGAACACGATAAACTTTTTCCATTAATATGGAGACGGGGTTGGTTGTACAGGGTGTACCATTTACCTTAGCATTTTAATCTTTTACGAATTTTCCTTTCGAATAAATTGTAGTGAAAGGTTTTCTGAAGTTGAAAAGATGACATTTTAAAATATGTCAAAAAAATGTGTAAAATTATTTTTCTTTAATATTTTAGTTTGGTATTTTCGTTATGGCGCTGAGTATAAATTTGCAATAGAAATTGTGAAGTTCAATGTATGTAATGAATGGAAAGTGGTTATATATACAAGTTTTAACAAAAACTATGTCAAAAACAGATACTTTTACACAAATTTTTAGAGAACATAAAACAAAGAGTGAAACATATTATTTCATATATTGATTCTGGATTATCGATGCTTTTTTTAAAATAAGAAGACGTATTTCTATTATTATTGTAACTGATAAAAAAACGAATTGTATTAGGTCGAATTGTGACATCTCGATAACTTTTTAACGAACCAAGTATTAGTGTCCAATTAGAAATACATTTGATAAATGTAAATTGATATTTGAAACATTGAAAAACATTGACTTACAAAAATATATACCATAATGAACTTGTGGACTTTTTTGAAATAAAATATCAAGAAGAAAAGAAATTTTAATGGGAGATTCCAGAGGCCAAAATAAGACGAAAATCAAGAATACTAATTTGTTAATTGAGGCTTCGTTAAAAAGTTATTAATGTTTAAAGTTGCGTATGAGAAACTCTACTTACTGACGTATCGACAGTCTCACAGTTTTGCGAAAGTGTCGAATAACTTTTTAACGAAGTTTCAATCAATAAATTGTTATTCTTGATTTTCGTCTTATTTTGGCCTCTCGAATCGTCCATTAAAATATAATTTCTGTCCAGAAATGTCTGCCCGAATTTTCATGCGAATCTTTAAAATGTCATAACTTCTGAACGGATTGGACAATTTTAGTGTTTCAAATGGCAAACAACGCGTATTTTGCTGGAGAATATGTAGAAATTCAAAAAATATTCGAAAAGTTGTTCCTTAACCCTGTAAAGTGAGGAGAATCCCATAAAAATGGCCCAATATTCAAACGGCCATAACTTCTACAATAGTGAATATTTTGGAATGAAACTTTTTTCTGAAGTAGTGCTCATGGGCACTTACAAAAAAGTATTGGACAACTTTTCAGTAGGGCATCAAACAAAATTATTAAAAATCAAAAACGAGTTTCTAAGAAAAATCGACAAAGGTAGGTACTTAAATGCGGGGAAATTGAAAAGTTTCAAATCATTCTGCAAAAATTATTTTTGGTTGCGAGGGTCAATTACAATCATTTTTGGTCAATAGACATATCCCCGAAATCCTACGCACTTTCGAGAAAAAAATTTGAATAAGTAGACAAATTCTTCAGCAAAAAAGAAATTTTCAAATCGTTCTGGAAAAATTATTTTTAGTTGCAGGGGCCAATTACAATCATTTTTGGTCATTAGCCATACCCCCGAAATCCTGCGTATTTTCGAGGAAAAAATTCAATAAGTGGACATGTTTTTTGACAAAATTGAAAACTTTCGAATCGTTCTGGAAAAATTATTTTCAGTTGCAGGGGCCAATTACAATGATTTTTGGTCATTAGCCATACCCCCAAAATCCTGCGCATTTACGAGAAAAAAATTTAGTATAGGCGGAACTTTAAACGTTCATAACTTTTGATAAATGTAAGTTGGCATTTGATACATTGAAAAACATTGACTTACAAAAATTGTATGTACCATAATGAACTTGTGGACTTTCTTGAAATAAAATATCAAGAATAAAAGAAATTAAATTGGTTCACTAGTACTGAAAGTAATTAAAATGGCGGAGTTACGTTATTCATTCTGTATTATACAGGGTGTTCGGTCACCCCGGGAAAAAATTTAATGGGAGATTCTAGAGGCCAAAATAAGACGAAAATCAAGAGTACTAATTTGTTGATTGAGGCTTCGTTAAAAAGTTATTAATGTTTAAAGTTGGGCATGAGAAACTCTACTTACTCACGTATCGACAGTCTTACAGTTTTGCAACAATGTTGAATAACTTTTTAACGAAGCCTCAATTAACAAATTGGTATTCTTGATTTTCGTCTTATTTTGGTCTCTAGAATCTCTCATTAAAATTTTTCCCAGGGTTGGTCGAACACCACGTATATTAGCTTTAATATTTCAAGCTTTATCGCTATGCAAAATCTCATTAAAAGGTGGATTATTAAACAAAACATGCATAAAGTAGAATGTAGCGTAATATCAGATATGTAATTAGGAAATTACAAAGAAATACTTTTACAGAAATTTTTAGAGAACATAAAACAAAGAGTTAAATATATTATTTCATATATTGATTCTGGATTATCGATGTTTTTTTTTAAATAAGAAGACTTATTTCTACTATTATTGTAACTGATAAAAAAACGAATTGTATCAGGTCGAATCGTGACATCTCCCTAGCTGAATAACTAACCAAACATTAGTGTCTAATTAGAAATACATTTTTATTCACAGATTTTATTACTCTACTGAATTCTACGATAAAATCTGAACATTTGTTACATTGAAAAACATTGACTTACAAAAATTGTATATACCATATTGAACTTGTGAACTTTTTTGAAGTAATATATCAAGAAGAAAAGAAATTGAATTGGTTCACTAGTACTGAAAGTAATTAAAATGACGAAGTTACGTTGTTCATTCGGTATTATACACGGTGTTCGATCACCCCGGGAAAAAATTTGAATGGGAGATTCTAGAGGCCAAAATAAGACGAAAATCAGGAATACTAATTTGTTGATTGAGGCTTCGTTAAAAAGTTATTAACGTTTAATGTTCCGCCGGTAGAACGGCAATCTGCGAACAGCTGCTAGTGAACTTTAAACAAATTGGTATTCTTGATTTTCGTCTTATTTTGGTCTCTAGAATCTCCTATTAAAATTTTTCCCAGGGTTGATCGAACACCATGTATATTAGATTTTGTATTTCAAGCTTTATCGCAGTGCAAAATCCCATTAAAAGGTGGATTATGAAAATTTAAACAAAACATGCATAAAGTAGAATGTAGCGTAATACCAGATATGTAATTAGGAAATTACAGTAGTCCTCCAGCAGCTTGACCTCTTTCGCTTGATAGAGCACATCGATGATGTTATTCGGTTCAACGTCGACGATCACGTTGCAGATGGATAGAGCTCGAAGCTCCTTCAAGATAGGTCGATAATCCGGCCCTTCGCCGAGTCTCCTTATCGTAATGATGCTGTCTTTGTTCCGTCTGATTGTCAGGGCTTGTTTGATCCGCGATAGACCGTCGTTGGTTTGGTAGACCGCCGTAAAAGTGGTCCATTTCATGGATTCGACCACGTCAGCGATCGCCTGGAAAAAAGTTTTCGTTCCCTCTGGTTATAATTTCTTACGATGATCGCACAGCTTTCAAAGATGGCGACACTTCCAATGCAACACCTAACAATCAAAATATTTCCGACATATTATGTTCTTACATAATATTATTAAAAATAAAAATAATAAAATATAATAATAATAATAATATATTATAAATTATAATAATATATTATTAATTATAATAATATTAATATTTTATGCAAAATATTATCATAAAATTGGCGATGCTCAACTTTGTAAATGTTTGTATTTATTATATCAGAGAGCCTCTTAGAATAAATAAATAATTTTCGATTATAACATTTCAATTTTATGAGAATGTTGATATTATATCACTGTATAAGGCTTAGTGTATTTAACTATGTAAACTTTTGGCACAATGTAAACGTGTCTAGATTCTAATTTTAGGTTAGGTTGTAAAATAGTCTCTGGTTAGAATTATTTCGAATAACGAATACTATATTCGCTGTTAAATAAACATTGGCTTGCAAAGTAGAATTTATGTTCCTCTCATTCAGTTTATCTGTTTGACATATTTAAATAACAATTACAATACTTAAAGATTGAATTTTTTTTTTTTGAGTAATTGAATGTTTCAATTCATTTAAAAATTTGTACAAAAGTTGTAGATAATGAACAATACAAATTTAATCTCTAGAAATACGTTCTATTTTATAAGAAATAATATAGTAATTCTATTTTATTAAAGTGTGAGTCCACATGTGTGAAATGTGGAACAGTTTTCCACATTTAAAAAATAATCGAATAGCTAAAAAAGGCAATTTTAGCGAATCACAATTCAGTTATTAAATGCTCCTGTCACGAAAGTGTATTTGAAACGTCTGTAAAATTGCTTTTGATTTCACAAAATTTCACTTTTGATATTCCCCACGTTTTCCCAGTGCGAGTGTTTCGGTCACGTTAGATTAAAAAACTTCAGTAATATGTCCGTGTGTCTTTCAGAAACGTTTAACGCAGCCGTAGCTTTCACAATGCAAACTCGTGATCAGTTTTGCAGTTTAGCTCCAACTTCTGTTTGAACATTATATTTTACAAATTTTTACGAAATTCTGGAAAAAAGGTTTCAACTTTGGTGCGAAGAAATCGTGTTCGGGAAACGTTCCATGTTAACACATTACCGACCGATAGCCTATTAATCGACTTTTTTACCGGCCAACACTTACCGACCGATAGCGTATTAATCGACTTTTTTACCGACCAACGCTTACCGACCGATAGCCGATTAATCAACCGCTGCCGGTCGGTAAAGTGTTAAAGAAATATCCGCATTTTTTAAAGGGGTGATTTCATCCCCCAAATAAAAATTAAACTATTTTCTTTGCATAGAATTTTCCAAATTTTTCTGAATCTTTGAATTCGCCATATTTCCTTGTAAATAGTGATCGATAGAAATAGATATTTCTATGATTTTGTAATATATTTACATTTGACAAAGTAGATGATCTATTTTCAATTTTTTTTTTTTTATTTTATTTTGAATATTAGTCAGATTTATTCACCCAAGAACAGTGTTCTCCAAACTTTTTTCTTTGTCTCAAAAAAACGTTTATTAGTGTGAAAAAAATTGTAAGTTTAATTGTCTCGACAATGGAGACATCGAATATAATTTTTGAATTTTATCCAAAATATTCAGAATTGGAAAACGTTGGAAACAACTGTTTCAGTAAAATTTGGATAAAATTCCATTAATTTTTGCACAAATTTTTATAGTGGATTTCTTTTCCTTCGCATTTTACACGAATACTTTTTAATGGTGGCCTATGTGCAAAACGTAGCGTTTAAATAGTACGCTCATTAACATTTTTATACCTCTAAATAAAGCCGGAGATATTACACGCTTGATCTCGTAATTTGTAAATGGGAACGGGGAATATACGTCGTAGAGTAATTAGCAAATAAACCATGCAAGTGGATGCACGAAATAACTGTCCGAATTCGTGCGATATTTACACACGAATCGGCTGGAAGTTCTTTTCAAACAAAAACGGAAGCGGTATTTTCTCGTCAAACTACCAATTGTGATTTGTTACAAGATGGTGCCATTCGGTAAAAAACACGATAATTGTCGCGGATTTAGCAAACGGTGTTGAACGTTTCATAATACGCTATTTCGTGTGAAAATCCAAAGGAAAATTCCCACGTTTCTTAGTGAAACTGTGACGTAAAAATCTGAGCGTGAAATTGTTAAAAAAAGATAAAAGCAAGACAGAAGGCAAAGGAGGTTACAGAGACATTTTCGCGTCGCTCGACGAAAGAATTTTCCGATAGAATTGCGATATTTTCCGGATTGAAAATTTTCGAGAAGAAAGAGCATCGAAAACTATTCGTAAGAATCGCATGTAAAAAGAAAAAATGGGTCTTATCAAAGAATTATTTATGTATGTTCTTAACATAGCGTTCGTTATGGTTAAGGAATGGAAAATGGTATAATTATTTCTTCGTTCTTCCTTTAAATTAATGATGGTAAATAGTTAAAGGAAAAAACATTTGAAATAAAATGACATTTTAGGAAACGGAAGTAAATTTTATTCGGCGCCACTGTCGCTACTGTAATTTAAAACAATTAATTTTGTTGGCGCATTGGAAGGATTAAAAAGATAATATATTTAGTATAAACACATAGTAGGAACAATATGTTAGTAATAATCAACGTTAGTAAGATCAAAGTATCATCATTATAACACACATGGCGCATACAGCGCCCAAGCTGAACGATGAGGGCGCCGCCTAGCGGCGGGACTCAATAACACGCGATTTCTTCGTTTGCTTCACGCGCGCGAATTATAACTAGCCTACAAATTTTTTCTTTTTAATTCAGACGAACTCATCATCTTCATAGCTTGAAACATTTTTAAGTTTGTTACATTTGAAGCTTCTAGAAAAATATAATCAAATTTAATAGTTATTCTAAGCATGAAGTGCATTTATGAAAGTTATAAAAACAGAATTTATTACATTCATAACTAATAATAAAGATTGTAAGACGTAGAAAGAATTTTAAAAATTATACATAAAATTATAAATAAAATACAATTTATATGTTTGTGCCAATTTCATTGGAAACAAATTCCATAAGCAGAAAAGAAGAACGTTAAAAGTAATTGCTTGTCTCTTATTAAAAAAAGAATTTTATAAGCATGAAAGAAAATGTCATGCTCGGAAATATAGTCGGAAGTGTAATTTAAAAAGTGTATTTAATAGGACCATGGAAACTTCAGATTCGTTTATATCAAATATAATTCTAAGAAACAGGGTGAAAGAACAGTAATTTGAGAAAATGTAAATTGCTTTGCGAGGTCTTATCGTTATTATGTTTTCCGTCGATTGTAGCTTTACAAGAAACAACTGATAACGAAGAGGATTTCAATAAAGTTTTCTTCAAAATAATCGATAAATAAAGATGCTTTCAATTTTGATTACGAAACGTTTCATTTTTAGAATAATTTTTTTCTATGTAAGTTACTTTAAGTAATCCAATTATATTATAGGAAATAATTAACTTTTAAAAATTCTTAATTTTACCCAAATAATGCTTCTCAAGCCACTGAAGTCTCCACGAAGCTAACGCAAAATTATGTTCAATAGTTAATTTCTCACCGCGGCTATTTTAAATTTAACATTACTTATTAAAGACATTATTTATTAAATAATTTTCTCTTCGTAGTTTCGGTAAAAATCACACAATTAGCTTCGTCGATCTACGAATTGGTACTTAAAAGAAGTTAAAGAATTCGTTTTTCTAAATGTTGACATTTATATTATAAAACATACATTGTCTACTCGAAAGAATGCAACAATATTTTTAGAAGTTAATTTATTACTGTGACAATTTATAATTGAAAGAGGTTGAGAATAATTATATTTTCGGACGCACAGTCTTTACTAATTTTATTCACTTATTTTTTTAATTTTATTTACGAACGCGTTCTATACCACAGTACGTAGGCTTGAACACAATTCGAATTTACGAGTTCGAAAGCACAACGCGTAATTTTATTTATCGTGTACGCGGAAAGAGCGAACCTACCCATCGTTCTAATTACGAAATAAAATTAAAACGCGTAACAATTCTTCCACCCGCGTAGCGAGAGAAGAATTTTAATTAGATTTAATCGATGGTCGTTTAATTTATACCAACGATCGGTTTGTTCTTTCCTCTCTCTCTCTTTCCGCCCCTCTCTGTCTCTCTCGCTCCCCTAAACGCGAAAAGAACAAAAGCTGATCCAGAGGCGTTAGCTCAAGTTTCGTCTGTGATCGTGCTCATTAGCTTCGACTTGCCCGGTTAATGCGCGAACTACTTCAAAATTGCTCGATCCGCCTCGTTAGGCGCGCAATTTAAAATGCATCAGAATGTCACTTCTCCGATGCGTCGCTGCGCCGGGATACGTTCGACACATTTCGAAAAACGACGATGTATTAAGGAGTAAAACCACTGTAAAAACCTGAAATAAAGCGTTTTTTTTGCTATTTTTTTTTTAAATGGATGGAAAAATAAGAAGATAATAATATTCAAGAATGTTGTTAACCATGTTGTTAAGTGCTAAAAAAGAAAATATTTATTCAAAAATAGTGCAAAATGACGATACTGAAGCCATTCTCGCGAGACGCGTTTTGAATTTGAGGCACTCTACGACAAATTTGTATTTGGAAAAAAACAAAAAATTTTCTCTTAATCTACATGAGTACAGCTGGAGAAATACGTAGGGGATTTTTAAAACATTAATTTTTGTGTGATTGGCGAGCATTTGAAATAAAAATAAAAAATAAATAATAAATAAATAAAAAATAAATAAATAATATTTAAATTATATTATCGAAGATCCCCTATGTATTTCTCTAGCTATACTCATGTAGATTAAGAGAAAATTTTTTGTTTTCTTCCAGATACAATTTTTTTTCAAATTCAAAACACGCCTCGTGAGAATGGCTCCCAGCGTCGTTATTTTGCACTATTTTTTAATAAATATTTTTTTTTGTAACACTTAACGACATGGTTAAGAACATTCTTGAATATTATTATCCTCTTATTTTTCCCATCCATTTAAAAAAAAAATAGCAAAAAAACGCTTTATTTCAGGTTTCTACAGTGGTTTTACCCCTAAAATGGGGTACTTTGAAGCGTATAATTATACAGGGTGTTTCATAACAACGATCAGGGACGCTTGGAATCGTGTTACGGTTAAGAAACGGATGAAACTTATAAATAAAATGACAAATCGTATTAATTTCTTAATTAGATGTAACGAGAAGTTATTAACGTTTATTTGGTATTATACCTGTGGCGCTGCTGGTTGAGGGTAGAATCTCGGGAGAATTTCGCAGAAAAGTCGTTCGAGGAACGTATACTATATATAAACCGAGGGGTGAGTCGAGCGCTTGTGAGAGAGCGATCCCTCTGGTGGCGAGCATGGGAGGCGACGCCACAATACCAAAAAACTTTGGTATCGATTTTTAATTATTTTTTTTCTAGGGGAATCTTGAAATTATAACCTCATTCTGAATTAATTTTTAAACAAAATTTTACAATAAGTTTTCGTTGTATAAAAGAAGCAAAACTTAATCTCAATTGATGCATTTTTTCATGAGTTACGATCAATAATGTGAGTGAACTTATTATTTATTTATATACTGTATAAATATGTATTTTCCATTTTTGTTTTTGGGTTATATGAGGTTATAATATCTTCGAAGTTAAGTATCTAACTTGTCGAGACTTTCAAGAATTTCTAATCGAATCTTCAAAAAATTTGAATCTTCATAGAATGTTTTGAATTATCAGATTTAAGGTTGAAATTGATCACATAGGATGCCCCCGAATTGCAGTCTTCGAAAGAGAAATGCAGTCGTGAAACAATGGAAGGAAACATGTCAAAGGCGCATATTTCATGATTGCCATGAGAAAATCGATCTCACTGTGTGTCAATACGGGTCAACCAGCTGTAAAGGGCTGAAATATTATTTTACGTGCATGTGAACAACAGACGCTTCTACAATACATAGACGAAATTATACTATAGGAATAAAATTGCTGCAGTACTACTATTGCGTTCGTTCACGTTCGATCTAAACGCGAAGCCAATTTTCGAAAGTCATATAAAGAATTACACCGGAAACGTAAAATACAAATGTTTTGTATGAAATCACATTTTTTTCAGGAAATAAAACTCTACTCATAGAACAATCATTTTTACCTCCTCTGTTACACTTTCTTTATAAAAAAAAAGGTTATTTAGTAACAAGTATTTTGTATTTCATATAACAAAAAAGTAGATCACTTGCAAACATAAATGATCAGAGTTATCCCCACCAATTCTTAGAAGTCGTTATCAATACATTGTATACATACAAAAATAAGATATTTTCTAAGCATTCTTCCACGTTGCGTTAATTTCTGCACGATTTATTATATTCATGTTTGAAAAAAAAATGGCTACTGTAACTTCCATTTACCTTGCCAATCATCTCGCTATCGGGATATACGTTAATGGTCATCGGTGTCGGATTTTTCGGTTCCTGGTCGACCTGCAGTTCCTCGTTCTGTCGCCATGTAAAATCGATGTGCGGAATATCGAAGCGTGCCGCAGTGCTCGCGACAATTCCGTGGGTGTAGGGACTCACAGGGCCAAAGATCGCCGCCACACCTTCCTGGATGAGCTCACAAGCTGCAACGTTAAGGGTATCTTCCACACTACCAGTTAGGTAAGCTACGTTGTACTAAACACACAAACGAAGCACCCTCGAGACCGGCTGAGGGCGGCCATGTGAGCCGTCGCGAGTAAACGGAGTAATCAGAACCAAGGGGTCGAAATTGCTCGGCGCATCGATTAACTGGAAGGAATGCTTGTCTAATACCGTGACACTATCAACCGTTTGACATTTCTTTCTTGAATAATTAAAATAAATGCGGATGGGTAATCTATTGGGTTGTCCGGAAAGTTCGTGTCGAATTTGAAGGAAAATTGAAAGCCAGAAAAAATTATATAGGTGCCATTCTGTTCTACAACCGTTCTCCACCTTTCAGGCAACTTGAAAATTCCGTCCTTCCAGAATTTCTCAGGTTTTTCACTGAAAAACTACATGATTTTTTATATCAACCAAAGAATTGAAGTTTTTTCCATTAAGGGAATTTTGTACTGATCGAAATAGGTAGAAATCAGAGGGTGCGAGGTCTGGTGAATACGGTGGATGGGGTAGAACATTTCAACCGAACTCCAACAACTTTTGTCGAGTCACCAAAGATACATGAGGCCGCGCATTGTCCTGATGAAAGACGACGCCCTTCCGATTCGCTATTTCTGGACGTTTTTGTTCAATTGCTGCCTTTAATTTGTCTAATTGGGAACAATACTTCTCTGAATTTATTGTCTCATTATTTGGTAAAAGCTCATAATACAGAATCCCTTTCCAATCCCATACAGACACGGAGCATGACCTTCTTTGGTTGAAGACCGGCTTTTGGGGTGGGTAGAGGTGGTTCATTCCGCTTTCCCCAAGATCTTTTTCGTTCCACATTGTTATAAATGATCCACTTTTCATCCCCCGTCACCACTTGCTCCAAAAAATGATGTCTCCTCGTTACCTTTATAGAGCAAGTCGCAAATGGAAATGCGATCCATTAGATTTTTCTCCGTTAAATCGTGGGGAACCCATACGTCAAAGCTGTTTATCTAACCAAGCTTCATAAAATGGTCGTGGATGGTGGATTTTGACATATTTAACATTTCTGCTGATTTACAAGTCGTATAGCGTGGGTTGGTCTCGATGAGTATTTTAATCTCATTTTCATCAGTGGTGGGGGGCCTCCCGGGTGTTCTTGGTCTTCAAAGTTGAAATCACCAGTTTTAAACCTAGCAAACCACTTACGCACAGTTCTTTCAGCTACAGCACTTTCGTCATAAACAACGCATATTTTGTTTGTCGCTTGTATGGCATTTTTGCCTTTCCGGTAAAAGAAAAGCATTAAATGCCTAAAATGCACTTTGTTTCCTTCTATATTGAACGGCGTATAAAACTCACAAAAATTAACCCATCGTAACCAAATTTTTTTCCAAATATGCCTGAAGTACCGTCTTTTACAGTATGTATGCGTGCCATTTGTTTTCAATCGTTCTGATATATTCAGACCTGTCTTTACGCCACCTACCAAAAATCGACACGAACTTTCCGGACAACCCAATACATTTATCTCTTTTCCTTTCGTAATTACTCGTAGAAGCTAGGCAGGGTGTGTGTAATTTCGTAAATTTACATATAAATTGTGACAAACGTACGGAAAATTTGTCAAACTTTGCGAAAACATACATTTTATCAATTCATAACAAACGTCAGAAATTGTATAGCGAATGTATGTATGAAACAGTTGTAAATTTTTATTGGATATTATTTTTAACTTTTTCGTTAGAATTGATTTACAATTACAAATGTAATTGTATAACGTCCGTTTGGTAAATCGCGTCCTTCTCATTTTGTTTCGGTTAAACGTTTTTTCCGAGGTTTTCAGTATCGAGCTGATTGATTTGAGTGAACTTTCTATAGTAATTCAACAAGTATAATTTTAACCATAAAAATTACTTATAATTAATACGAGATAAACATTCACTTACTCAAATACGGTGCATCTTCCTTTAAAAATAAAAGAACATTCATTAATTTGCTTTTACGTTTCTTGTATTAATGTACTTATTAATTCCATACGATACTGGCTTCTACTGTTTCAAAATGGCTGGCACAGCAATTTAACACTAAACCTACCGCGACCGGTCGAATGACGTTTTTAAAATTTCGTTTAGAATTTCTAACACACAATATTATTTTAGCGCCATTTATACTCACAAACAGTTCCACAAGAGCGTGTCGTTCCTAATTTTATCACTAGACGACGCTTCTGTTAATCGGTTAATTCAACTGTTTAAAGACTTGGCTTCAATGCTTTGAGGTTAAATCAGTAGTGTGTCCAAATTGACCAGTAATTAAACTAAGTTATCGATTTTATTATTCGACGCAGATTTGATTTATTGCTAAATGTACATAAAAAGAAAAATTTTCATGAAATTTCGTCCAAATTTATTTTTATATAATTCAAATTATAAACTTAAAAAACTAAAACTTCATTTTTCCCACATAAGAAACCAATCTTAATATTATGTATATCTAAAATTATTAATGAAAAAAACAAATAAAATTAAACTTTTATATATATTGTTATGCATACATATACATACATATCTTACTCGACTTTCTTACATTGTTTACAAATTATTTTAGTCTGAAATGTACATTTCCTGCATAGATATTTTTCGCACTTCCAGACAGATTTTTATTGCTTTATAATTTTTACAAAATTTTATTTGATTGTTTTTCGCACGAACGAATCTGAACTTGTGGACGATGTTGATAGAAGCTGTTTTTCTAGCGATTTTTTATATGCAGCGCCGAGCTCTGAAACTAACTGGAATAAAAATTCCTGCCTCGAAATGTTTTCACCCGTTTCTTTATACAAAATCCAGGCATTTATTCCAGCCGGGTCCAAAATGTTAAAAAATATCTGAAGTGGCCACTTACTAAACGCTCTTCTTCTGTATCCGTTACTTCTTTTAGGCATTTTGTAATTTTGACACGCTTTGACATTTTTAGGGTAAATATCTACCACAGAATATTACACTATGTAAGGAATAAAAAAGGGACCGCCTTTTCTAAGTGTTCTGTATCTGAGGTTGGAACGAACTGGTTGCGATGACTATTTTGCTTGACAAGATCAATTGACAAGATCAATATCGTATCAGTGTCTTATAAGAAAGCCAATCAAGGATCTGGTAAATGTAAATTGACGATAAAAGGAATAAAACATAGCAGTAATGTTCTTAACGATTAAAACGTAAGATTAAAATACCTGTAATTGGAAAAGTTGAGTATGTACTCTTGTAGGTGAATGTTTTTCTTATGGCGTGATTTTTTTTAAACATTAATGTGTATATTGAATAAGTGATGCAGGAAATATTAGTATTTTTTGTTTACGTTTTATTAATGAGTATGGAAAAAAATGCTAGTACTAATTATTAATTTGAATCATATTTTACTAAAGAAGTAGGCGATTTTGATTTTAAATCCCACATTTTAGAATCTGTAAATGGACATCATTATTATTCTGAAATTCAAATATTACGGTACTTGGACGATTTTTCGAAAAAATGATGTTCCTAAAATATGATACATTTTTATCATTTTGATCGCCAATAGAGAGATTGGTTTAGTTCGCTTTAATGATGAATGTCGGTCAAATAATCTGAAACTCGAACAATAGTAAGAGATAATGTCATTAAGTATAAGATAATTGTTATTAATGCCCTTAGCACATCCCAGCAATACATTTCTTTATTACCGACCCAATAAAACATTGATACTAAATAAGTACTGGATATAAAATAAGAAATAGAACATTCAATTTTATTTCAAAAGGAACCCCTGTAACTATATTAAATATAATTTTTTTTAGTGTCCCGTAAGCATATGCTTATTTTTCTTATTGGTTAATTGAGTCCTTGGTTACAAATTTTAATTATGAAGAAAGCAGTCTCGTTACTTTGGGAACGGACCACGCACAGAAGTGGACAAAAGATTAAACGAAAATGCAAAAATTGTTTATTATTTACGAAAACATAAGTACAGTGTTCTTCTTTGATAATAAAATGATATTTTGTTCTTAAACATATTGAATGAAATATGACAAATATAGAAAGGGAACGAATGTATATCATACTTTCATGAACAAAAGCTTTATAAGGGAGTGTCTTTAGTGTAAAATACATAAAATTTTCATTTTGTTGTTCAAAGTCTACTATTTTATATGACCTTAGCACATTTTTTTGGCATCTAATCTGTTAATTTTCCCAATGATCTGCAACAATATTACTCCAAATCGTTTTTACTGTACAGTAGAGATTGTTAAAATGTTTTGGCCTTTGTACTATTATCTTTACTAAACTTCACAAGTTTTTTATTAATAGAAAGGTATATTTTTTTCCGAAGAAGTTTTCCACCACGTGGACTGTGTTTTCTGAAAAGATACTAACTTGTCCAGTATTCACAAACTTCGGCAAATGCAAGTCGCATTTTTTACCTAGTACTACTAGCTCCTGCGGTCAACGACCTTTACATGACCGTAGTAAGAATGTAAACAAACGGTTCGAACCCTTATATCTCTGGAACTAGCCACCGCATCGACGCGAAACTAAAATCATCATATTTCCGAAAGTAATTGAGCTATCGACTTGTTCGAACGCTCATTTTAAAGGGGATTTCATCCTCTATCCAATGGCTATACCAGCTACTATAATTATTGCTGTCTTCTAAGTTCATTTTCACATTTCCTTTGACGCTACATATTCAAAGTAGTTCCAGCACTTCCTATTGATCATACTGCTGTGCCATAAAACTGGATCATAAATTGTTTATTTAATTGAAAATGAGTTTAAATTTGTATACAGGGTGTTTGCATAATTACTATGCCATTTTTCGTAAATAATTGTTTTCTCTGAAATTAACTACGATACCGGCTTGAAAGAAAATTTGTTTTTAAAAGCGTTTTATCTTCTATCTGATGAAAAATACTAATTTACTAATACTATTAAAGGAATAATGCACGTTTAGAGTAAAAGTATTGAATATTTTTGTGCAGGTTCTTAGAATTCAATGCTTTAAGAATAACTATGCGACATAAAAGAGAAGGATATCTTACGAATGAACATCCAAACACAACTTTCATTATAAATGTATGTTGCCTCGTAAAAAAGAAAAAGGAAGACTGATCATTTAACCGATCATGGTAGGAATGAGTATATGTACATGAAGTGCCGGTAGGTTTAGTGTTAATACGTTTTGTTTACTTTATATATTAATTAATTACCTCTATATTCCACTTGGACAGAAAGAAAGTTTTTCTCCGAGCATAAAATCCCGCCTCGACGCGAAGGCGAAAGAAGTTCGTCCGTTCGACGAGGTTTTACTGTCCGGCCGCCATCTTGCCGCGAAGGACTTAACGCTAAATTTATCACGATACGGAGACAACTGGCGTCGAAGCCCACGGCGCCGGACGATCGTGAGAAAACCGTAACAAACGAGATTGTTATTTTCCCCCGATACTGTTCGCTGGTAATTGACACTCGCATTTCCTTCCGACACCCGTACAATTAATCAAGACGCGACGTCGAAGTTTCTCGGTCGAATGGCCGCCAGTCGCCTCCGTCTATGCGCACCGTTAATTAGTTCATTAGTTGTTTTAATCCCTCCGTCGTGGTTGATTTTGCTTCTCCCATCCGGCGTTCCTAAACTATTTAGAAGCTGTACCGAGTATTCGTACGAACCTGCGGCGGCGGTCCTGAAGCTGTCTGTATTAACATCCACCATCTTGATGACGTACTGCAACTCGAACGTGGGCGCAACGTGTTCGATCTTCGACTCGCCTACAGCCCTTTCAAACGCAGCCCTGATCTCCTCGTCACCCGTGTGAAAGATTGCGCCTGATAAGAATAAAAAATGCGACTTATTAGTTGGCAATCTTATCAAACATACTTCGAGTTGCTCGAGAACTTTTCCGAATGTCGAACGACGCGGGCTCCGGGGTTCTCGCGCGGGTAATTCGAGTTTAATTAGATACCGACGAAACGCTGTACGGAATTCGACTGACAATAGCTCGAACGAACTTATCCCTAATTCTAGCGGAATGTGACTTCAAGTCACGTACCAAGTTTCTGCAACTATAGGATCTTTAAGCAAATACATATAGGATCCATAGTGCATAGTTTTGTTCATCCTCTGCGGCTCTTGGTGTATCTAGTTGGCAGAATACGACTTGTGAACATTTTTTACTTTTCGAGTGTAGAGCTCGGAATTACAAACCTTCGCTCTTCGTTTTCAACCGAGTCGTCAAAGGAACGAGATAGGACAGATTCTCTGGATTCCTAGCCACATTTCACGGTAAGGATTTTGCTTCCTGGTTACTCTTATTGATAGACTTTAGTGATCTACTTCTTTGGGGTCAGTATAGATGGGACTGCAGGAGAGAAAAATTCTCAAAAATGGCGTTTCACTAAACGTTCTTTCCACCGGATAGCGGCATTAGTGTATTTGGTTTATTTCGTACATGTGTACTAATAACATTTTATGTGTTATTAAGTTATAAAATATGAGGATTTGAGCCCCCCCATTGACCAAGAAAATTATTGTAAGATTTATTGAGAATATGATACAGAAAAACTTGATACAAAAAGTACACGTGCTGATGCTCTCTTCAGTCGTTTCCAGAATAGGAAACGGAAGTAGGTGGAACATACGACGAGCAAAACTTATATACATATATACATATACATATATAAAATGCTGGCAATTTGAAAACTTTGCTGCGTATTGGGGAAAGTAAAAAGTTACTAGCAGTAGAAGAGTTATTTGTAAGACATCGTTTACATCGTTCAACTCCAACAAAAATATATTATTTTTATTATAGTGTAATAACCACGAGCTTTCTAGGTTCTTAATCCTCAATTCACCTTATTGATCGCGCTAAAAACATTATTCTTTGGTCACTCAAAAATAGCAGCGTACACTCGTCCGTATCATAAATTTTTAGAAATCCTAACATCTTCTAAATCCACTACGGGTGTAAAATACATACAGGGTGTTCAGCCACCCCTGGGAAAAATTTTAATGGGAGATTCTAGAGACTAAAATAAGACGAAAATCAAGAATATCAATTTTCTGATTGAGGCTTCGTTAAAAAGTTATTAACGTTCAAAGTTCCGCATGTAGAACGCCAATTTTTCCACCTACTTGAATTTTTTTTTCGAAAGTGCGTAAGAATTCGGGGGTATGTCTGTTGGCCAAAAATGTTTGTAATTGACCTCCACAACTAAAAATAATTTTTCCAGAACGATTTGAACATTTTTTTTCGCCGAAAAATTTAGGCACCTACCCCCTGTCGGTTTTTCTTAAAAATACGTTTTGCATTTTTAGTAATGTTGTTTGACGCTTTATAGAAAAGTTGTCTAATACTTTTTTGTAGGTATCCATGAACTTTACTTCTCCCCAAAATTTCAATGAAATTTGTTCACTATTTTAGGAGTTATGACTGTTTGAAAATTGTACCACTTTTATGGGGTTATTCTCATTTTACGGGATTATGGAACAACTTTTCGAATAGTTTTGGAATTTGTACATATCCTCCACTACAATGCGCGTTGTTTGCCGTTTGAAACATTAAAATCCTCCAATCCGTTCAGAAGTTATGAAGTTTTAAACATACGCATGAAATTACGGGGTAACATTTCTGGCCAGTCATTATATTTTCGGGAGTATGTGTATTCATCACAAATGATTGTAATTGAAATACATACATTATAGTGAAATACATACGGGGTGTTCGTCCACCCTTGGGAAAAATTTTAATGGGAGATTCTAAAGACCAAAATAAGACGAAAATCAAGAATATCAATTTGCTGATTGAGGCTTCGTTAAAGAGTTTTTAACGTTTAAAGTGCAATCTCCGAACAGCTGTGCGCGCGCAGAAGGTTACAGCAGACCAGTGCCAGTGGTTCTCGCGCAAACGACGAACTGGTGGTCGTTGACTGCTGGAGAGCATAAAATGTGTGTTCCGTATCACAAATCCAACACGAAATTGACTGTCTACGGCGTTTATATCCTTGTACAAATACAAACTAGTTTAATTGTTCTTTATTTGTTTTTAGGGAGGGTTTGTTTTAATAATTATTCACAATTAGTGAATCGTTATCGTTTTCGATATAGCAACAAATAGATTCGCTTAGACATGCTTCATTGTAGTTGTAGACTCGGGTAACCACTAGCACTGGCCTGCCGCAACTTTCTGCGCGTGCGCAGCTGTTCGCAGATTGCTGTTCAACAGACGGAACTTTAAACGTTAATAACTTTTTAACGTAGCCTCAATCAACAAATTAGTAGTCTTGATTTTCGTATTATTTTGGTCTCTAGAATCTCCCATTAAAATTTTTCCCAGGGGTGGCCGAACACCCTGTATAGACTTAAAATATGTGACGATTTTTATAACAATAAAACTAAGATCGAAACTCACAAAGGAAGTTTGTGACCAATTTTAGTGACGAATAGAATGCTAATTTTAATTTTTAAACAAAGTTTGATACAATTTTCTACCCGTGTACGAACTCCGTTGACTGATTTACGCCGATTTTTCTGAAACTTTAGACAAATATACACTAAATCTACTGAAGAATTTGGCGAAAATTTGGCAAATTTGGCAAAAAATTAACCATTTTATCAAAATTATTATATATTATATATTACAATTTTTCCCAGGGGTGGCCAAATACCCTGTATATTATTAAATTACAAAATGCGTGATACAGTTCTATAAACTTGGCACGTGACCCTAAGCTACATTCTAGTTGGATTTCAGTTAATCATATTCGATTTAAGTATTGAAAATAACTCTGACTAATTCTAATATTGGAATAGCCCAAAAAAGTTTTTATTCGTGTAATAAGTGGAAATAAACTGTGATATACCAGGAGTATATATAGTGCAGTGTAATAAAATATGAAATACTGCCCAAGTTTAAAATTGTCAAATACAGCACACTATAATGTATGTATGCTACAGTAAAAATGATTTATTTATTGATTATCAGAGTTTTCAAAGTATTTAGTTACAATCTTTCTTCGAATAATTCCTTATACTCAACAAATAAAAGATTCAAATAACTAATATCAATTTAAAAAAAGAATAACGAAACTTTAAATTAATTATAGTAACGAAAGCTTTTTATTTAAAAATTTTAAACGCAGAAATTCTCTTTACTTTTTTAGGGGAGAAGTATTTCGAATCGTTCAGTTTGAAACTCTCAATGACTACATTAATTTAGTTTTTAATTAACAAATAGATTCGCTTAGACATGCTTCATTGTAGTTGTAGACTCGGGTAACCACTAGCACTGGCCTGCCGCAACTTTCTGCGCGTGCGCAGCTGTTCGCAGATTGCTGTTCAACAGGCGGAACTTTAAATGTTAATAACTTTTTAACGAAGCCTTAATCAACAAATTGGTACTCTTGATTTTCGTATTATTTTGTTCTCTAGAATCTCAAGAACGTTTTATCTTCTATCCGATGAAAATGACAAATGTACTAATACTATTAAAGGAATAATGCACGTTTAGAGTAAAGGTATTGAATATTTTTGTGCAGGTTCTTAGAATTCAATGCTTTAAGAAAAACTATGCGACATAAAAGAGGATATTTTACGAATAAACATTAAAACACAACTTTCTTTACATTAATTTATTGATTATCAGAGTTTTCAAAGTATTTAGTTACAATCTTTCTTCGAATAATTCCTTATACTCAACAAATAAAAGATTCAAATAACTAATATCAATTAAAAAAAAGAATAACGAAACTTTAAATTAATTATAGTAACGAAAGCTTTTTATTTAAAAATTTTAAACGCAGAAATTCTCTTTACTTTTTTAGGGGAGAAGTATTTCGAATCGTTCAGTTTGAAACTCTCAATGACTACATTAATTTAATAACGATTGTTTGACGTTAATATCGTGTAAATGGAATATCTATAATATTGTAAATATATCATATCCAGTACAACGACAATTATCCAAATTGATAGGGAGACAAATTCATTATTCGTTGAAATGAGAAATGGGCAGGCGAAAGCTTAATATATGTGGAATTTTAAACTTTAAATTAAAACGTATGAAATTTAATTATGGAAAATGAAGGTTATTCATATATTTCTGCTGTTGTTAAAATACGTAATATCTTTCTGACTCAAAATTAATAGAATGTACATATAAACAGTTAAACGTACTTTTTTATACGAAACTATTAGCGTTATTTGCATATCATTAGTGATTTAATATTCGTCAAATAAAATTAGAAAACGAAATGGAATTATTTTAAATTAAATTTGCAAAAACAATTTTGAATTCAATCTTCAGATTTATTTATTTCGTTAAAATTTTTTGGTGGAATAAAAGCTGGAAACAGATTATTCATTATTTATTATTCATTATTCGCATAAAATTTTGCATCAAACTGTTTTCACTCGCCTAACATATATAAAATTTATATTTGAGTGATTTCTGTATCACAGGTCTTAATTATTCATAAAAAGTGTCCATTTGAACAAAATATTTTGCAAAATGTTATTATTCGCTAGGTGGAACAATTGGGAGAAATTCCTTTGTCAGTTACGAAGATGTGTGTTCAGCGAGACAGTCAAATTGGTTATTATACGTAATGCGTTGCACTGGATTCCCCTGTTCGATTATTTTAGTGTGTAATTATTCAATTATTTCAGATTTAATTTAATTTCGCGTTTTGCGGCCTCGTTGATAATCTGGTATTCTGTGAGTTGCCACGCGACAATAGATTACTGAGTTCCGAAGTCAGTGCATTGAACGTCGAAAACAATTCAAAGACAAGGTAATTGTCGTACGCCGCGATGATCAATGCAAATGGAA